TAGCCTTGAAGGCGTGGTCATTCTTATGCAACTTATCTCTTTTATTCACATTAGATATATTGTCCTATCCCCAGCATAAATATGTTCTTCAGAAGCTCTAGACATATTACTAATGATCTTAACAGGACAAGTCAGTGTAGACAATGATGGGACGTCCACGTAAAATCTTGTAGACTAAGTAGTCACATGATGATGAATCCGCAATTTTGGGATAAGGTTTATTATTATAGTCGTACTAGAAACTGTCTAACTCCACCTTTAGCTCTCTTAGAGCCTCTGCCTGCTCCAAGCCTGGGTAAAGGAGAAGAGTTGGTTATAAGGTTGGCAACCTCATTCTGTAGAAATGTCTTGCCAAAGAAAGCACCAGACACATTAAACAGATTAAAGCATTTAAACTATCCCCTGGGAGTTGAAGAAAGAATTATGATACATCAGGATGTAAACCAAAGTTCTTTGGAAGACACGAGGCTGATTCACCTTTTAATAACCGGAGCAACAATTTTTATAGGTACATGAAATGTTTGGACAATGTGGAAAACTCGGAGAACCAGTCAAATAGCAACGGAAATGAGGAGATACAAATTGACAGTACTGGCAATCAGCCGAACCCACTGCAATTAATCTGGACAGCAAAGGTTAGATACAGGAGAGATGCTACTGTACTCCGGTCACGAAAAGTAAAATGCTCCACGAAATGCACTTGCAGGATGGGAGTCTTACGGATCCAAAATCATCAAGGCATCATTCAAAACAAAGAAGAAGAGAATTAAAATGAATTTTGTACAGTGTCATGCACCCACTAGTGATAGCAATGACGACGATAAAGATCAGTTCCGGAATAGGCTGCAATCAATCATAGCGAAGTGCCAAAAAAGGATTTCACAATCCCGATGGGAAACCAAAGCTTTAAAATTGGAGTGGCCGACAACGAATATGAAGATATCATAGGACGACATGAACTGGGATAGAGAAACGAAAATGGGGAGAGATTCGCAAGTTGGTCATAGGCGGCACAATATTCCCACTGAGACGCATACACAAAGTTACATAGATCTCGCTGGACCACACCACGGAAAACTGGATAGACCATATTGGCATATGTAAGATCCATTTTGAATGTTTTGTGTGTGAAAATCCCTTCATGTGTACACTTGCAGTTTGTTCCTATTGATTCCTGTAGTTGTGTATTTTGTTAGTCTTTTTGATTCCATTTGAGTTGATAGCATTCGTATTTTATTAGAGTTTTTATTTTTATTACGCTTTCACTAAGTTTCCATGTTTCTTCCTGAACTGCCCTCATCTTGTTTTATTTGATACTTGTTCTTGGTGGCAGCCATATTGGTTTGTTCCTCCCTATCATTGTGTTGCGTGTATTGACTGGAATTGTCCATTTTTGATTGTGAATTGAAGCACTCTTCCAGAATTGGAAACACTGCGTTATGAAGCAACTGAATATTATCTTTGAAACGAATCTATGCTTGAACTATCCAGACAGGATAGAATAGCATATAGTTGTTGGTAATTTTCTAGCATCCTTTTTCAACCTCCTTATTTATTGTGATTTAGATTTGATTAGTTGAACTATTATTGGTTGGATAGCTGGGTGGTCATAAATGTTTAGGTAACAATGTACATTTAAATTTATGCTGAATTATAGAGCCATCATTTTACCCAATTACTTTGTTTTGGTTTCAACCGGGCAAGGGCGCATATCTAACCCACCCAGACAGTTATTCTTCGGTCCAAACCTAAGTTTGGATCTAACAGTATCAATGAAAAGTCCAGAAGGACAATGGAAGACGTGCAAACCAGGAGAGGAGCTGATTTATCTTTAGATCACCATCTAGTGGTTGTTAAGATAAAACTGAAGCTTAAGAAACGCTGAACAACTGGAGGGACAACATTGTAAAGGTCCAATACGACCTTCCTTCGAGATACTGGAAAACTATCAGCAACATGTTCTAAGCCTTACAAGATGTCCTTTAAGAAGAAGAAACTACTATGGAGGAGAACTGTAAAGGGATCGAAGAAGCTTTAACTTCAACATGTCAGCAGATGCTGAGTTGCAAGAAGCATCATCATAAGGAATTCATCGTTGTGTAAACCCTGGACAAGTTTGAAGAAAGGAAGAACAGGAAGACAGCAATTAACAACAGCCGAATAAGGGCAGAGACAGTCAAGACACAAGCTGAATACACGGAAGCAAACGAGTAAGTGAAGTGTATAAGAGCGAACAAGCAGATATACGTGAAAGGGCTTGCAACTACGGCGGAAAAAGCTGCGAGAGAAGGAATTATGAAACAACTATATGATACAACGAAAAAACGAGCATGCAGATATAGTAAGCCAGAAGGACCAGTCAAAGATAAAGAAGGCAAGATGAACACTGATATTCAGGAACAGAGAAACAGATGTTTAGAACACTGTGAAGCTCTTGAACATACCAGCTCCATTAAATCCGCCGTACATAGAAGCAGCACCTACAGGCCTTCCTATAAATGTCGCTCAACCAACGATCGAAAAGTTCAGGATGGCCATCGGACAGATCAACATTGGAAAGCAGCAGAACCTGACAATATACCAGCCGAAGCACTAAAGTCAGACAGGGAAGTAACTGCAACATGTTCCGCCTTCTATTCAGGAAGATTTGGGAGGATAAACAGGTTCCGACGGACTGAAATAAAGGATACATCATCAAGATACTGAAGAAAGGAGATAATGTTTTATACTGTGAAAAAACCATAGCTAAGTCCCGTACTATTTATGAACATCATCGGCATGTAATGGTCGTACATAACCGAAACTATTGTTTTCATATGTTAAACGACGAACAAGACGTAGTGATGGTATTCCCTCGTTACTGTTACACGAAAATTAATATTTACTAGCTGAATCGGATAGGGCAAAAGCTGAGAATTTTTCGAGCTGTTTTAGCGAAGTCTACTCTACGTGTATTGTTCCAAGTACTTGTCCCAGTCACACTGAGATACCAGCCATTGGATCTGTACATGTGACTGAGGAGACTGTTCTTCCATTGGTAACTAACCTCAAACCTTTTAAGATACCTGGCCCTGTGTTACATCCACGACTGCTGTAATCTCTTGCGGACATTATTTCAAGACCGATTGCGACGCCCCTCAATATATCCCTTTCACTTTCCCAACTCCCTAGAGGTTTAAACGACGCTATAATCACTCTTATATTTAAGGATGGTCAGAGACAGATCGTACCTAACCACCAACCTGTCTGTCTAACCAGCATAATCGTTAATTTACTTGAAAAGGTGATTCAGGCTGTTACTTTGTCACATAGATTTGCAAAATCTGTTAATTCCCGAGCAACATGGGTTTTGTAACAAGCGTTCATGCTTGACTAACTTTTACTGAGAGATGATTGGACATCAGTCCTAGATAACGACCTGTCTTTCGATGTGATATTCATAGGTTTTAGCAAAGCGTTTAAAAAGTTTTCACACCTAGGTCTTATGCAGCTCTTGGGCTTCCGAATAGCAGGTGCTGTGCAGGAATGGATAAGAAACGTTTTATATGACCTCAGTCAGAGAGTGAGGGTCAGTGGAACGCTATACGAATGGAAGCTGGTCAAATGTGGTATACCCCAAGACAACATCTTAGGTCCTCTACTTTTCCTCCTCTACGTTAATGAATTACCGCCATTGCTTATGCCATCGACATTATTGTTTGCGGATGATGTCAAAATCTGGAGAACAATAAGAAGTGAGGCTGATCATTTTGCTCTCTAAGCTGACTCAGACGAGTTCGTTAGATGGACTCGAGGTTGGGGCTTAGTTAATTATAGGGAGAGTGTGCTCATGCACATCGGACAAGGTAATAGTAACCATTATACTATTGATGACACATCTCTTCAACGCATTCAAGAATATAAAGACTTAGGAGTAATAATAAGTCATGACTTGAAAACAACTATGCATTGCAACGCAGCTGCTGCCAAAGGTTATAGTGCGTTATGGTCAATTCGCCGAGCATTCAAATGGTTTAACGAGATGTTTCGAATTTTATATCCCACCTATGTAAGACCACACTTGGACTACAGTGTCCAGGCAGCTATCCCATGTCTGATAAAGGATACTAACTCACTTGAGCGTGTGGTATCAAGTTTAGTGAAGGGTCTCTCTAAACTCCCTTGTGATGAACATTTTAACAGTCTAAACCTTTTCCTCTTGTCGTATCGTAGGACGCGAGGTGACCTTATACTAGTATTTTGTATTTTTAATTATGATTTCGGCGTTAATATGTTCTATCTTTTTGCTCTCTACAGCACTAATGATCTCCGAGGTCATAGCAAGAAGGTTCACAAACCGCGATCTAATAAACTTAAAGTGTAGTCCCGTTTTTCTCATCGAGTAGTTAATGATTGGAAAACCTTACCCAAACAAGTGGTATCAACCCCATCAGTGAATATTTTCAAGCAGAAGGTGGACATCCTTTGGAGAGTAGTCTGTCAGGATTAACACAGGTTCACCAACCTACTATCCCTATTACTGAAGACTGAAAAACAGTCGCTTATCGACAATAATACGGCGTCTTAGAGGTCACCTTATAATGGCTTACAGCATCCTTAACACTTCTGGACATCCCCTTAAACACCTACTTAAGTTTAGTTCCAACACAAACCTAAGGGGTAACACCCAGAAACTTGAGACACAACACAGCAGAACGGACAGTAGACACAACTTCTACTTCCTAAGAGTTGTCAAATGCAGGAATTTGCTGCTGGCTGAGCTAGTTCAAATGACTTCCCAGGAGTCCTTTAAGACGAAACTTGACCTACATCTAAGGACCAAGGATAGTACCTTACCATGATTTACCAATTTCTTTTGCCTCTTTTATCGTTAATATACCTAGGTTCCTGCCTGAATGTATTGGCCACTCACTGGTACTAGACACGGAAGCCCGTTAAGTGCAAGCTTCTTCTATTCCGTCCACAACCATTTGAACCATTTGAATCATTTGTATGATGAACAGATTTGACCTTCAGAGATTTGATTGTGACGCATTTTACTTTACCTTCTCCTTTTGCGTGTTCGGGTATTTTAATATAGGGTTCTTAAAATTACTGATTGTCCTTGAATAGTTTTACCATTCAGTTTCAGTACTCACTTGTTTGTGATAAATTGCTTTGATTTGTCTCATTAGTTTGCAATTGGTTAGGTATTACAACTTAAGTTACAATGCCCGAACAGAACTAAATTGGGGAATAAAGGCGAATACCCATAAAATATTCGCTTTATTCCCTACAAAGCTTGGTGTGAACTTACGCTGTATTGCACCAGGATATTGCCATTTGCGCGTGCTGTATGGGAATAAACGTTTGAACTGAATATCTTAAAGCGATATATATCAAAATCCAGAACTATACCTTTACCCAAACCTACACTATATAGTCCACGTTCTGACTACTTAACGTCTTCAACATCAATCACTTACCTAGGGAAGCCAACTTTGTACGCCTTTGGCCTCATGATGAAGAATGGTTTATGAAATTTGTTTACAGGAATTATAAACATAGTCTACATAAATATAATCAACATTGGGGTGACAGTTGCACTTCTTGAGTAACGAGTATGATTATCATCGATTGATGTCTAGAAAAATTTAGCACTTTATAAGGGTTTTTAAGTTTGTTTCTTATTATGAGTGCTTCAGTTTAGAAAGGATAGGAGGCTTGATGGTCTGTGTTAATCCTGACAATGATGGTCTCTCAGTTAATCCAACTTTCTTTTGAAAGAGTCGACGGATGGAGCCTCAACCACATGCTGAGGTAATGAATCTCACTCGTTGATGATTCTATGGGAAAATCGATAGTCAGCTGACAAGTAGTTTGTTCTGGGCTTGTGAACAAGTTGGAGTGTCCTCGTAAATCCTCTGTTTTCGGAAGACAAGAAAAATGAAGACACATCAGGTGCAAATTTATCACTTAGCGATTTGAAAACTGATCAAGCCGCCTCTATTTTTCCAATATGACAACGGGGATTGGTTTAGCTTGGCCAATCGAGCATCATACGAGAGCCTCGCTATTCTGGGAATCAGCTTAGTTGCTGTTCTCTGAACCTTTTCCAAAAGCTCACTGTCTGTTTTTAACCTGAGGCTAGCAGTTACTATGCAGCACTCAAGTTTAGGACGTACGAACACTGTATACAAAGTCGAAAACGTTTTAGCGTCGACATGATTAAGGCCCCACATATTGACCATAAGGTTCTAAAACCTATGGTGGCTATCGCACGGCAGTGTGTGGTAGTATTTAAGTCTTGGTTGACTATGACTCCTAAGTCCTTGTGTGTCTGGACAACAGGTTGCTCAGTGTTATTCATCGTGTATGTATCTGTACTTTGATGGCCAATATGCATCACAATACACTTGGAAGTATTAGTCGGCAGCTGCCAGGTTTGAGACCATTCAGATAATTTCTCCAGATCGTTTTAGAGTTCCAAGTTATCACCATTACTTCGTATCACTCTCCATATCTTGACATCGCCAGCATATAGCAAGACCGATGATGATAGTAGACGAGGAAGGCCATTTATATACAAGAGGCATAACATTTGATACTAATTTGTACGAGCTTCTAACACCTGCGTCTCATTTGTCTAATTACATCACATATATACGCGAATTTAGAAGTGTGTGTATAGCATAATTTATTTGAAAAATTTAATCATCGCAGTATAAACGATTAGAGAGAGTTAACTCTCCCCACTCTCGACCGTACCAGGGCATTCGGGATAATTGAGTCGTTTTATAAATAGATTTTACAAAAGAAATCCGCCAGATATTTTAAAAAGTCTCACATCCTTACAACTAAGACCGCGGCCGCCAACTCTAGTTTTGGAATAATGACTTTCCTAATCAGGTTACTCTAGATTTACAGTAGAGCAGCACGTACTTTGTAGGTTGTCGCTGTAGACTGATGCGTTACTGATCAAGGGCAAATCCACCGCATCATAATTCACACTTTCCGCTTTGATACTGTAATTTGAATGCGTTTGGAGAAGTAGTGCTTGGTTCACCTGTAAGTGTTATAAGTGTACTGCGAACTCGCGACAATGTAGAACCACCTTGAATTACCAATCAATCTATTAAAATACATTGAGTTAGGGTTATCCAATGTATAGATGAATGTTAATGGTTTATCAATATCTAGCAAGAAGATATAGAGAACAGACTTGTAAAACTACGGATTTCTTCAATAATTCACCAACACTTCAAATGACTAATGTGACATTTCACATGGATGACAATCAGAAATCTTCCCTAAGATATATTCTAGCCTATGTTATGAGACCAGAATTACCTACTGGTTATCCTCTACTTGAAAGTTAACTTGTGTATTCCCATCACACACTTCTTGAGGGCTAATGATTTTACCCGATCGCTCAATTCGATGTTTATTGAGCAGGGTTCAATCTTAGGACTTAGTGTTCGGATGTTGAACCGTTTATCTATAAAGCTGATACTAAATAACGAACATTTATACTATACCCTTCGTTCTTTATGACTGTTCGATTAAGGGAATGTATAGCTGCTCTCAATATCCAAGCTAATAGAAATCTTATATGTTAATAACATATCTTGTAAAATCGTACTAGTGATGTTTTGTTTTGCTTGTAAAATAAATCTATCCACAAACAAAATGTCCAATCACTATTTCTATAGTATTGTTTGTTGTTTCATATCTTATTCTACAATTCAGTATCTGATATTCTTGGGTACGTTAGTTAGTTGTATATCAAGATCGTACTATCACTTGTTCTGAATCACTCAGCTGTACTAATACTGGTTGAAGACCTTGAAAACCCCTTGCTGTTAGAATAATATACAAAAATATTATATGGCTAATTTGCGAGCTTTCATTGTCGGTAGTACTGGAGAAACAGGAAAAGCATTAATCAAAGCCTTAGCTAAAGATACAAGATACAGTTCTATCAAATTAATTCAAAGGCGTAAAACAGATGTTGATTATGGTTTTGAAAATAAAGATTCTGAAAATCGTTTCACTCAGATTATTATAGATTTCGACCATTTAGATGACTACCAAGAAGTATTTCAAGATACTGATGTGGGTTTTTGTGCCTTTGGGACAACCTTAAAAAAATCAGGAAAGGAAAAAATGAGGATAATCGACCATGACTATGTAATTCATATTGCAAAGTTAAGTTCCGCTGCCGGCTGTAAAGAATTTCATCTTGTCAGTTCAAAAGTAAGTCATGAATTTTGTGACATCATCTAATTCACCCAGATAATTAAATGGGCTTTTGTAAATAAGTGTAGTAATCGGAATTGTTACGGTACTATGATGCTAAAAACAATCTTCATTAGTTGTACGTTCAATAGGTCCTTAATAATTTAGCTAACTATAACCTGCCTTATAATATGAAATCTTGTGTACGTTATGTTTAATGTTTGAAGCTACACGATATATATAAAATATATGTAGTATTCTGATTAGTAGAAAATTAAATTCCTGGTGTTTTAAGTCTTAGTACAAGTTATTTCTTTAGAGAATAAATTGAATAACCGAATTAAATTAACACAACAACTACAAAGGGGAAAAATAGAATACACAGTGCAATCAAAATAAGTCTATTCATGTCCACGTCATGTCGTTTCGATCAAAGTAAATTATGTTTACGATATAATTGTGTGTACTTGTGTATACCCTGGTGAGTGTAAAAAAAATGCGATATTTTCATTGTGAAAAAGTAGATTTGAAGCTGTATATGTAAGAGTAATAAATATAACTAAGTTTGAATAATTAGTCCAATGTAAACTGATAGTTTTCCCTTTATTATTGAACACTAAGATTTAACAGTATATAAAAGAGCCTGAAACACGCCTTTCTCTCTATGGTTGATAAAGCTTTTCTAAATTATTCTGATATTTTAAATATTGATCTTAATGATTGTCAAAAATAGCTAGTACTACTATGGCTAATTATAACTTGAATATTTTCCGGTTGTACATAATTATTAGGAAAGGTTATGACTGCCTATAAACGAATTGGGCGGTGGTTAAGCCGTTTAACCTTCGACCATAAAGTCCCAAGTCCGAACTCCACTCCATCTACTTCAGTCTAGGCAACTGGATAATATCACTAGGCTTCACACTTCAACTGTGGCTCATACCTAAATACTGAATAAATTGACTTATTTAAATCAAGTTTTCTTTACAAATCAAGTAAATAGGAAACAACTTTCGAACTCATCACTTTTTAGTTGACAGTTAAGTGTATTGTTCATTCTTAATTTCATTATAATCTCAATAAAAGTTTTCCTCATGTTTCGTTTAGGAATGACTTTATCTAAGTTTGTCTTGTCTTTCTATTAATGTTTTGTATTATATTTCTTTGTTGTTTTTTGTCCAGGCAGCTAATAAAACCAGTATCTTTTTTTATCTTCAACTTAAAGGTGAAACAGAATCAGATTTAATATCACTTAATTTATTTCCTAAATGTCTTGCAATCTATCGTCCAGCTACTTTATTATGTTCACGTGTTGAATCAAGACTAGCTGAAAGAGCTTTTCAAATTTTATTGAAACCTTTCGCATATCTTTCACCTACATTACTAACAACACCAATTGATATCCTTGCAAAGGCTATGGCTAATGCTCCATTTAGTTCAAAATTAAAAACTGATTTATCTGTACAGCAAGAAAAATCGTTACCTAAAAATGTGCATATTTTTGAAAATTCTGATATTTTCTTACTTGCATCAGAAAACAAGGATATATAATTATTTCATTGGGATTGTGCTCTAACTTTGATGTAAGTTCTTATTCCATTTTGCTGGTATTTTATATTATACCACTGACACTTTATTCAATTCATGAACCCGTAGATTTACTTCACCCATCTTAATATCTTTCCAACTGGGTAGTATTCATAATTCTCATATATTGATTATAACATATTCTAATTCATAAACTACTTTGCACGTGGTCACTACGATAGGGTTGTTTTTGTATTTTTACTTTTCGTTCACAAATGTTCTTCGTTCATTGTGTTTGCTAAATTGGTTTGTTTTTGATTATAATAGTTTTATTGATTAAAACATTTATTGTTGTGGATCAACAACCGTCTGCCAGTCTTTCTGCCATTCTTGTTTTTTATCTTTTGTTACTTATTTACACGATTTATAATCAAGCCTGTACAGTTAGTCGCTTTTTTAAACAAAACTGTACTACGGCTTATTGGTTTTTATTTACATCATGATAAATTTCAACTTTAAATGTTTAATGTAGTTTGTATTCTCTTTGAAGTATTGGTTTCGTGTGCACTTTATGGGGACTGATTAAGAAGTATATCGAACAATATATGAGTGTTATTTGAATTCAAGTATATGGGTTGAGTTTACATCAACTAAATTGTTGGGGCCCACCGTATCAAATCCAATTAATTAAAGAAAGCTTCCTGGTATACGCTTTTGTATGGTATACCGGGCAAAAGTAGACAGGCCAGTATTATATTCGCGTCGCCTACTATTTATACTTGAAAACGAGGAAACTGCAGTTCCTACGATACGAAGAACACAAAAGAAACTGGTACAAGTGAAGATTTATTAACTTTAAATAATTACGACAACCCCAGTTGGAAATGCACTATTTATATAGTGATTGGTACACTTATTAGGAAAAAGTCACATATGGAAAGTGACCAGGTTATTACAAAATCGTATGCTGCCTATCACACTGAACATAGTTCGGGTTAATTCAATACAAAGAATATCTTAAATAAACATCACACTGAAAATCAAACGAAATATTACACTGGGTAATCACCATATTGAATTAAAAATGAAATTAATGTTGACCAACAATCACAATGAATCAAAATGTAATTTTGTCTTTTTATCCCCATCATGTCAGTCAAACATATTCTAAAGGCAGTACAATGCTCGAGTGTAGGTTGATTTTATGCAAGTGAATCATTCATTCGTGAACAGCAAACATAATTATTCGGAGTTTAACAGTCAAGCGTTCTACGTTGTGTTAGTTTTCTTTCTCTGTAGAGAGGTTAGTCGAACGTCCTGAATATGAATCGGACCGTAGAATACGACGCTTTTATTGTATGCTTCTCTTACAGTGTTTCCATTGTAGCATGTTCCTCATAGCGTTTTTATGTTTACTTTTTACAACTTGGTTTCTTTGAAGTTTACCAAATTCTCTATATCAACAAAGACATTGTGTTTTGAGATCTGGGTCATGGTTTTTCACAGCATTTTACTACTGCTTACGGTTGGACTGATATCCAGAACAATTGACACAGTTTGGATCGATCACAAGAGCTGCAAATGATTTGAATCAGTTGTTATTTCTCCATGCATAAGATATTCGAACTTAATTTATAGATTAACTATTATGGAATTTCAACTTATCGGGATTTCATGTCTTTAAAACAGCGTCGGTTCACCACATTATCTGTTCAGTAAATTTAGATAAAATAAATGTTTTGTCTACTCCATGTCTAGTTATATTTATGTGTTTGCGCGTATTTATTAAAGTTATAACCATAAAAGGGCAAATACAGATGTTTCTTTTAAAGCATTTCAATGTAGCTATAAGTCCGTATAAACAACTATTTTTGTTTATTCCGGTCAGTCAGTCAGTCAGCTGCAACGTAGGACCAGGCACGTATATGCATCGGTCCAAGTTGCCATACCGCATTAGCACAACAAGATGAACACCGGATTCATAGGAGTAGTTAATTCAGTGGTGGTAATATATAGAAGAAAGATTGTGTATAAGGAGATAGTAAAGGAAGAAAGAATTAGTTCCTAGACAGATATGAAGCGATTTTAATCTCTTAATTTAACGAAGACAGAGAGTGTATACACCGACGCCATTGTGATCGATTCTGAGCCATGTCGCCAAGAGTCTCCAACCATTGGTTACGATAGTCACGCGGACCCCAACCAGGCAGTCTGAATCTCCCAACATGACTCAGACCAGAAGTTAGTGACTTCAAGCACTGATGCCACGTTTTGGTTTGGCCGCCCCTAACTTTCTTCCAATTATCCCCTGCACTAGTCAGCATTGCGCGTCGTGGTAATCGGTGTTCAGGCATACGCAACACGTGGCCCAACCATCTCAGTCGATGAAGATTCATAACCTCATCAACTGATTTACCATCATTCCCTAATACCCTGCGTCTAACCTCACTATTACTTACCCGGTGATCCCAGCAGATACCCGCAATATTTCTAAGGCACCTGTGGTCAAATACTAGTAACTTACGAATATCTTCCACTCTTAAAGGCCATGTTTCGCAGCCGTATAGAAGGACGGAACGAACTGCCGCGCAGTATACTCGTCCCTTAATTGATAGACGGATATCTCGCCTTCGCTATAGATGACGTAAGTTGGCAAAGGCCAAGCGAGCTTTTCGAATCCGTGCTGAGATTTCGTCAGACACCAACCCATTAGGGCTGATCAGACTTCCAAGATAAGTGAAGTTGTCAACGCGTTCGACTACTTCACCCCCTATCCTTAGTTCAGGTGTTGATGCAGACCAGTCCTGAAGCAACAACTTGCATTTAGAGGAAGAAAAGCGCATCCCAAACATTCGGGCATTGTTGCTCAGTGCTAACAAAAGACTCTGCATTTCATCAGCGTCTTCACCAAACAGGACTATGTCATCTGCGTATTCCAAGTCAATAAGTGGACCTCCTGGTAGGAGATCAATACCCGAGAAGTCAGTCGATGAGAGCGTTATTTCCATCAGGATGTCTATGATAAAGTTAAACAAAAAAGGAGAAAGTGGACAGCCTTGACGGACGCCACTTGAGGTTGCAAAAGCAGATGACAGTTCGCCATAGGCTCTGACCCGACTAGTAGTGTTCGAGTAAAGAGCCTGTTTATTCCGGTAAGAATAAATGTCAGTGGTGATTAGCTATTCATTTGTTTTTCATTGTAGTTTTAAACGTTTTGCTTATCTGAATATTTGTCTTTCGACTACAATCAACTTCACTAATACACATGTCTTATTCTGAAGTGTTTACACTAATTCACTATTAATTAACCCAACTATTTGGACTCAATCCTTCTGCGAAAAATATAATATGATAACGACTTGTGAACTGAAAAGTAGTTATTTCCTGAGTAACTTATATGCTCCCTGCACTTGATGCTCTCATTTATATAAACAGGGCACAAATGACAGTTTTTGTTGAGCGCTGTGCAGGCACTATACATCGTACTGTAGTTAAGCATTATGACGAAAGCATGTCATAAGGCTTTACCAAATGACGATATCACCTCATCGACTAAACAAGACATTCTTAGTATAGGGTCGTGGATGTTTTTGAATATCATTGAAATCATGAACTATTTATTTATTTATTTTAACACATAGATATTGGTAAAAGGAGGCACCAAATACATATGCGCCACATAAATCTCATTTGATATATGTGAGGGCTGTGATACTGCCCGGGTGCCCAAACCGTCACGGTTTTACTCTTGTGATTTGTTGCATAGTAAGAACCGTCGACCAAGAATCGAAGTTTTCTTTGAAATCATGAACTAATCAATGCTAGACCACCATTGAGAGCCTAGAAGCACTAGACGGCCGTTTCTCCATAGTATGGGGCTCGTCAGCGGTGAGCATCCACGACCCCTATGGAGAGCCTGAACCCAGCACCTTCGGTCTCAAGCGCGAACAGTTAACTTCCTGACCACTAAGCCTGCATCTAACGAAAATAATTGAAGATGGTCCCACAGTATCGTGGATTACTTAAAATTAAACTGGCTTTCGTCAACTCGCATCACTTGTGGCATCGGACGAGTTTACTCCGCAGCATTACGTACAATCAGTATTAAACATATTAATATTTTCCCTTCCTCTAAGTAAAGTAATTTAATAGATGTTTGTTTACTACGGTAATTAACTTAACTGATCGTTTGCCTGATACGGAATACTGCCGTCCATATTATTGATAATCAGTAACACATCTTTATTTCTATTAATTTACCTAAATAACACTTTCATTTCTATCATAATGTTGACAGTAATATAAGTACCTAGTTACGGGACAACTTAGAATTTCTATCTTTGAAAAATGTTTACTGTTAATTTGCCAATTAATGTTTTGTATTTTAGATGTAAATCATAGGTAAAACTTATCAGCATTCACAATGTTCCGAACTTGAAGTTTTAAGTATCATGTAGACATTCTGCTCCTGTTAGATGTAAAGAAAGTGTTGGATTATTAGTAAACTCATGGCAAACTATCGAACTCATTTTAGGATACATTTTTGTGTAATTACTATTTATTTACTGGTAATTTTCACATTCATTTTAGTTTCTCCCAATTAGTTGTTCGGTAAGGTAAATGAAAAGTATGCGTCATAAATGAACTGTTTTACATATACTATCACTAACATTTCACCCAAAAAGTACAACGCCTAATCATAAAATGAATATTGAGAAGTCTTCCATAATAATGTAAGTCAATCATAAAACCTTTTGTTAAAAGATTCGAGTGCCTTCAAACAACAAGGTACTTTGCAATATAAGTATGAAACATTTAGTACGCATGCTACAGATATCAAATTGGAAAACTGGATTTAATAAGTTTTAATGATGGCTTTATTAAGTATAAAGCATAAAATGAAAAGAATCATTTAGCTTGTTCTTATTGGTAACAAATTGTTATTGTACTGATGTTCACTTTTGGAAACAGTTGATTTAAATAATCGATTCTTCATAATTGTTATTATAAAGCAGGTTAAAGAA